ACTGGCTTACTGTAATTAAAAAAAACAGTGACATATGCATCCCTGTCAACCGCAAAGATGTTCCACTTCAGGCGCTTACAGTGTCATTCTGGTTTGTTTGTTTCTTTTGTTGGTGGAGGTCTGGGGATGCACAGCACTGGCCAGCACAGAGTGCCACCTGTGTCCTTGAAAAAAGAGAAGTGTTAAAAAATGTATGTGAGAAATACGACCGCTTTTTTTTTCTTTTGCTATTCAGAATCTCCACAGTTCATAAATTATGTTAACTCAATATTTTCTTCCCAGCAATGTAAGTGTCACAAAACAATTGTAAGGAAACCATAGAGGGGGTGCTGTGGTTATAGGTAACCCAAGAGCGAGCCAAGCTGCATTAAACTGATTTATATCTGAAATATTTTAGCCGCATGCCGATCAGGTTTTTACACCTTGGCTGTAAAGCAATCAGTGAGCAGAACACACCAGCACATCAGTCATGGGTTTACAGTGTGATAGATTCAGCATGAGGTGAACAAGGAGTCAGACTCAGTCACTGATACATACTGTACTTGTAGATACCACAAACAGGTCTAGCTTTGATGTGTGGTTGCTCTGAATGTATGTTTGTGATGATAAAACAGCGTACCGTTGACCCCTTTGTCCCCTGTGAGCCCAAAGCAGGTCCAAAATAGCTGTGTAATATGAGGGGCAGCTGTGATTGTGTGTACACAAGCTCAAACATGCAAAGACAGTGAAAACAGGTGTCTTGATCACACACACACACACACACACACATAAACATAAACATAATCTCTGATATGCCACATTCCAGCGCAAGGCCCAGTCAGCTCCTCCTTATCCTCACACCCTTCATCTGAAACTCTTAAGACTCCCAAACACTCTGATCGAGAGATCCGTTTACACGAACACGCTGATACTGAAGCATTTGTGGGAGGTAACTCTCTGTCAGAACGTTATGGATCGTGTTGTATAGAGGATGAGGTCACCCCAGCAAACACATAGCTGCTCTGCCTCCACTGTCACTTTCCTAATTGGACCGACAGACGGGGTCAAAACGCTCCCAAGTTCAGATCTTAATCTGCTGGACAGGATTGATGGCGACAATCTTTTGCACCCAGTGGACATATTGACACACGTACGTGGGATGAAGTATGTTGCTGACCTTGGGGGTGATACGTTTACACACAGTGGATGGGATAAAGCTTCATGTGAGGGATGGGTGTGGATCTGCCTGGTTTGATTTAAAGCTAGTCCCCCCCCCCCCTTGCTCCCCCAACAACTGGTATGATGAAATCATGGGCAGCTGTTGTGTGGCACCACCAGACAGGCAACCAGATTCACCAGGGAAGTGCCAGAATGGATACAGACCACACAGCCCCACCACAGTCTTACCCTGCGATCGCGTGGTTGGAAAAACAAAGCTCCGGCATGAGGGCGAAGGCTCAATTAAAGGACATCAAATATTCATCTGCCATACGGCACTGAGCCCCATGGCTGTATCCCCACAGCATCATGCAGCAAACCATGAAGAAAACAACAACAATATAGTTTCGAGCCTAGAAGCCGCTTTAATTATCTTTGACCCAACACCAACAAACAGATTAATTTATGAATGGGAACTGTCAGAATTAAGTAGAATACACAGATCACAAGACTACAAGCATAAAAATGTTTGTCCAATTTGCATAAAAATTAAGCAAACGACTGTTTAGAGGATGGAGAAGTTTGCTTTCTCATTTGCTTGCATTATATAATGTTAACTAAAAAACTTATGACAGCTACTGAGGATAATAATGACATCATCAGACTGCGGTTCAATATGTTGAGTCAACTCCAAACTGTCAATAAAAACTCCATCAATGAATCTGGACAGGCCTAGACAGACCGTGATCAGGTCTCAAATGTGTTTAGAGCTGCTGTCGGGGCGGTAATTCTATAAGCAAGCTAGCAGAGAGCCCGTGATGACATTATCAACCTGTTAACAACCACAGAGGAGCTCCAGTTGTTTCTCTTTAGGCTCCGTCATCCGTCAATTTATGTACTGTAAGTGGTAGTGCTGCTCATATACAGGGATATATGTATAGGGGTCTCTCATGTTCTCTTTATCAGTCAGATGTTGGCAAAAAGTATTAACAATGAGTTACAGGCAGCAATGTTTTCAGCACTGAAACTGTGTTTAATTGGGATAGTTACCAGTGAAGTTTTCACCAGGGGGCAGCATCAACACATTTTCCAGACATCAGACATGGAATGAAATATTTTACTGCTCCCATGGCTACTGAGATATGCACTGGTTGTTTAAGGGAAGCAGATGTCACTTCTATTAGTGAATATTTAGAGCTAAAATTGTTATTGATGTTCTTTAAGTGGCTGTGAATTTTTCTAAATATATTATAAATGTTAATTTATATTTCTTTGTAACGCCACTATTGTACTCAACAGACAGCATGCCAGTTTGATACATTGAATGACCCAGATTGTTACATTTTATGATGGAAGATTTACTAATAAAGAGAAAAATGCATTTTATTCAGTCCATCTCATTTACCCCTATCATTGTTAGTCCTCAGAGTTCAATGATCTGACACAATACAAAGCAGCTGGGGACAGATATCTATGCAACTATTTTCTTTAGATCAGCAGTGGTGGATGAACTATTCAGATTCTTCTCTTCCATAAAAGTACAAATACCTCACTGTTGAAACATTTGCTACACATCAATATCATGCAATGACATTTTCTTTAAAGGTTGAAGTCGGTAGAAATGTTCATTGTAGCTTGTAAACACAACATTCAAACCGGGCCCCTCCTCCTGGTCTCATCGCCAGCATAAGCTCACGCCCAATGCAGCATTAGCATATGCGTTTACTGCTTGTACCTACACTGAAAGCTAGCTGAGAATATTTGTTTAACTGAAAAGCCAATAATGAAGCACACTAGCATAAGCTAGCTGCCGGTGTTTGGCACCTGCTTGTCCAACAGAAAGCAGGCGAACTCAGTGTCCAACCCAGAATTCCTTGTTTTGGAATGGGCTTTATACGCATGGCATTTCACATATGATTATATTTTTTCTTCTTGGCTGCTATGTCTGTGTCCATCATATTCCTTGGTTTGTATCGTGTCAAATCCTTGAATTTATCAACTCCTAAACTCATCATGTCATGGGCTTGGGGGAAACACATCAGAACCTACCCAGGAATGTCTCGTGTCAACCAAAAATTACACCAAAACATCAAAATACAGGCAGATAACAGGGTCTCTGCAGACAGTCACCACCACACATGTATGGCAGGTCAAAAGTGATGATTGAGCGGTATTACTCTGTATAAGTCTATGCTTTATGTTCAGGAAAAAACTACTGACTCTGCCTTTAATTAAATGTATTCTTAAATGTCTGGCAGAATGCAAAACAATCTGACTGTTATACTATATAGAAAGTGACATTTTCATTCATACTTTTGTATTTCTGTTGTTGGTTGACATTTAGTTGATTTTAAATTTAGTTTTATATAAAAAATTAAAACCAGAGTTCTATTCATTTTTCAGAAAAGACTGCTTTTGTAACCACCAGACTTTTCCTTTTTCTGCTTGGTAGAGTGCAACATTATAATTAGTTTATTCCATTTGCATTTTGCCAGACTAACATCAACATGCTCACCCTTTTACAGTATGAGCAGGTAGACAAGATTTGCATCACGCCTCAGCTAAAAAATAAGTAAACAAAATAAGTTGTGATAATGTTTTTCCACAGAAAACTGCTGTGTTTGGAATCATCACACACCTTACATTGATATCAGCTTGTTTCAGGACTTTGACATCAGGTCACGCTCATATGATCAGTATAAGCCTATTGACTGAAATGATAAAACCCAAGACATGTCTTTTATTATGGGTAAAGAATGACTTTTTAAAAAACAGCTATGGATAGGCTAGCACATTGGTTGTCTTTGGAAACATAACCTTGACTTGAGTTTAATTAGTTTAGACATATTTGAAAAACAATGAGCTCTGTGGTAGTCTTGGACAGAGCAGGCAAGCTAAATTCTCTTGTTTGCAGCCTTTTACACTAACAGGCTGCTGGCAACAGCTTTACACTAACCAAATGTTTGACGTGCTGATGTTAGCAAGAGAGTGAAGAAGCTTATTTCCTCAAACTTAAACATTTTTAATCAGACATGTGTCTTGTCTGGAGTTAAAGCATGAGCCTAAAATGACAAGTCTGTTTTTGCCTATAACATAAACTTTGGTTAGCTTTGGCTCCTCCCTTGACTAAAAAGAATTAACATTAAAAAACCTGGCATTTGCTATGCTAGTAGCATTGCATGGCACAGGCTAAGCTAATGCAAAAATTATTGGGGACCAAGCTCACAGCTTTCTCGCTAGAATTAAGCAGGTACAATTTTACACCGTCCCCTTTATTAGTTTAGCACGTTAGCATGCTAATAGTTGCTAATAATGAGTAAACAGACACTCAAAGGAGGCGTTCAGTTAAGGCTGATGGGAAAAGCCCTTCTTTTTCAGACTTAACTCATAACTACTTGATTAAATGCCATTACATTAACCAACAACATTTACAGAGGATTAGCCCGCAGGAGATTCCCTGATTTTTCCACCAATGCCTCCATGAGGTTCACCTTTGTGGTTTTGAGTGGAACACAAACTATTTGATCTGTTAAGACAGAACAAATACAACTGAACTATACATATTCTTTACTTCTTGCTATGACATTGAGGATGATTACACAGACAAAACACTTATAAAGTAAAACCTCTGCTGCTTGCTGTACTTATGAACATAAACGGAGTAAAAGGCTACTACTCATTTCAAGAGTAGGCCTATGTGCACACTGAGTCCATATCACCCTGTGGCATTCTGCCAGCTGTTTACTGCAAAGACAATGCGTGCTTTGAGGTGCTGACACTCTTATTTGCAAGGTAAATAAAATGCAAAACACATCAGTGAGTCTTCAGTAAAATATAATAACTGTTCAGTTCATTTGAGCCACTGTGGGGAGTAACCACAAATGGAAGCTGAAGAAATAGAAAGATACATCTACCGGTGATCTTAAACAAAATAATCCTTCAATCTACTTCACATCTTCTTCTTTCCTCAGGATGATTCTATTGCATATAAAGCACGGCTGGATGTCTGTATGCAAGTTGATCCTTTTCTGTGGGATATTCTTCATGAACAACACACGTGAGAGCTCTGGTAAGAAAACAGAACAGTTTGTTTTTCACAATATAATTTTTCACCTGACCTACGGATAAACATTTAATGGTCATATTGATGTTTGTTTAGGCACAACTGAGATCAGCAGACTTCAAAATGTTCTGTTTGTCAGCGAGACAAATTTTGCTAATAAGAAATGTTTCTTTCCAACTGGTAAGCTAACCAATGATGTAATAGAAAGACATTTTCAACTGAAAATGTAGACAAGTAAAGAGTAAAATGCTGTTTCCCATCATATTTCAGAAGTCGTCATGATCAGTGGAAGTAGGTTTTGTTTCAGTAACAATACAGACAAAAAAGGTACAGCTGCCATGTGATAGTTACGACAAAACATCTGTTTTTCCTGGCCATTTCTTTAATTTAATTTGTGTGTTTTGTGTTTTTAGAATGTTGTAATGACAAAGAATTCAACTGCACCTTTGAAAAGGGCGGAAACTGCTCGATTAAGGATGAAGAGATTCTGTCCAAGCACGATATTGTGCTGATGAAAGCAGATCAAAACTTCTCATTGTGTACCCCATCAAAGCTCTACAAAGGCTCAAACAATGGTTTGCAAACAACCCTCTTTTTGGGCGAACATTAGGTTGAGTTATATTAAAACTTTAACCTTGATATTCATTGAAAAATAAGGAAAATCTTTATAGAAATGTCATCGTATGTATTGTAAGACTTTTTACAGAGATGATGTCCTTTTAAATAAGATGAGGTATATTTACACAACAAAAGCAGTGAGAGATTGCCCCCTTCTGGTCAGAAAAAATATGAATTCTTCCGTCTACTGTGAATGTTTCCTCTCTCCACCAACTATCTTAAACACATTTACCTCTGTTGCAGGCTCCCTGTTTGACTTTCACATGTGCTTGAACAAGGGTAAAATTACAAACAGCTCTATCTTGTCATCTTAGCACATATTTACTTGAACCAATAGTACAAGTCATATCTTATTTTTCCATGTCTATATATGTTTTAGGTGTTAAGAACACTCGTTGCAGCACAAGCTATCCATCCTGTGACGAAAGTAAAGACAAAGGTTTCATTATTTGTTTTTATCATTTTTAAGATGAGAACATTTTGTATGAAACATGTAAGTGTTTTTATTTGTAAGCATGTGCATGGTGGTGACTTTATATGTTGGTTTAGAAAAACCAAACCCCAACACGAGTAAACCACAGAAACTGTGTCCCGAACTGTCGATGGGACTTGTTACTGGCAATGAGACCAACGTGGAAGCTGCTTTGTAAGTATCTTACAGTGTCATGCAATCCATTGGAATGAGCAGCTATATTTTGATGTGGCATTGTTTGTAGTTAACTGGAAAAGTTCAAATATCTTGTGTTCCTATTACAGAAATATTATTAAGACTGTCTCATCTGTGTTGGACCAGATGAAAGAGTGCAAGACAGTGGCCATTAAAAAAGGCAAAATCAGAGGGATAATCACTGAACTCCCAAAGGATCCAACAAGTGTCAATATTGGCATCACATCAAGAAATATATCTGTACACAAATTTTCCTGAATAAAGAGTAAAACAGAAATTGGGTTAAACACCCTTATTATTTGTAAATATGTATATATTTATAATGGTCTCCTTTTTTTAGATTGTTGAGGACAACATCAATTCGACCGCGGGAATGTTACTACTGGTGCAGGTCTCTAAAGAGGCCACTGAAATGGCAGTACAAAAAAATGGTTCATTTCTTGCCTTTTTACTTATTCCAGGAGTGTTTCAGGTAAAAATTAAAACCTAATTATGTATTATTACAAGATAGCTTTAATAAAAACCATCATAATTATGTTACTTTACCAATCCAATAACTGTCAGGGGTTTTCATGTCTAACAGGATGTCAATAGCAGTTCTTTTCTCAACAATGAGGTCGTGGCAATTGAAATGGGAGCAGAAATATCCAATCTCTCGCAGACCATAGACATTCAATTCAGAAATGTGGACAAGGTAAAAGACACAGCAAAAGAACATACAAAGGGATGATAATGTTTAGCTGTAGAACCAACGGATATACTGAGTCTTCTTGTTTCGTTCCAATACAGAAAGGAAAAGTGGCTTCTTGCAGATCCTGGGATGGTAAAGGTACTGAAAGACATTGTTTTTATACTTAGCATCCAACAACAACTCTTGTAGGTAAATTGTTTGACAGCAGGTCTCAGTCTTATCATAACCCCCTGAAATAATATTGTGAAATATATATTTATATATTTAAGTGCTGTAGCGTCATCTGTCTTAACAGGAAAAGATCCAATATGGACTGAAGATGGCTGCCACCTGAAAGAGACCAATGAGAGCATCACGTGCCAGTGCTCTCATCTGACATTTTTTGCAATTTTGTTGGTAAGACAAAGGTGTTACTAACTAATTCAACTTGTGGGGTGCCAGATGGCCTATTGTTATGTGTGTCCAATGTACAGAGGTTAAAGTCCTCATCGCTATCTCATCCCTCCACCTCACTCCTTACGACATTCCCTGTCTCTCTTCAACTTTCATGTCCATTAAAGGCCAAATGGCCCCAAAGAATAACAAATCAAAAACAACTAATTTCACTTTTGTTTTTCTTTCGGTAATTCAGTCTCCTCCACCTGGAAACATCAGCTCTTCCCATCTGAGGTCTCTCACCCACATCACATCAGTCGGCTGTGGCCTGTCCATGTTTTTCTTAGCAGCGGCCATTTTTATGCATTGTCTCATCAGGTGAGGAATTTAGTTGCGGTTTCTTTTTTTCTCTTTTATGAGTTTTCACCACATTAAAGCTTTTTTTTCTAATACTGGCCCATATCATCACACAGGAGAGGGAAAGCAAGCCAAGCTACTCAGCTCCTGATGAACCTTTTTGTCGCCATGTTTAACCTCAACTTGTCCTTCCTGATCAACGACAAAATTGCAAACTTAGGGAACTTTGGTGCATGTGTGGCAATTGCAGCGTTTATGCACTACACCATGTTGGCAACTTTAACCTGGTTTTTCATGGAAGCTTTGCACCTCTACTTTACTCTAGGGAAGCTCCCATCGGAAATCAAACTCTACATGGGGAAGCTTTGCATCATGGGATGGGGTAAGAGACCAGAACCACACTGAATTCATACAACACTGTGTAAACTTAATAACCTTTCTCCTTTAGTCACACCAGCTGGAGTTGTGATTCCTCTTCTCGCCTTGAGGAAATACAATTACTTGGTCATTTCTGCCGATGATGGGACTTCTGCAAAAATGTAAGCTACTGATTTTTCTCAGAGAGTGTAAAATGTTTTTTTTTTGTGTGTGTTTTTAAGTTTGTGGGTGGATTTTTATTTCGTTGTGAACTTTCAGGTGCTGGATCCCCGATGCTGCTGTCCACCAGGGAGTGAACATTGGTTATTATGCCATTGTGTTCATCTTCACTTTCACTATATTCATCTTGACTGTGTGGAAGATTTTTCCCCTTAAAGCCAGAACAGGTACAACTATGGGCGGCAGCTCCATCAAGACAAACGTCTTCTCCATTCTGGGTCTTTTCCTGCTGCTCGGCATCACCTGGGCTTTTGCTTTCTTCAGCCATGGACCTCTGCTTGTAGCCTCCTACTACATCTTCACCATCCTCAACTCCTTTCAAGGTACACAGTCCAAACAGCCTCAATAAGTGAGTGTTGGGGAGTAGTTCAACTGCATTTACATTATCACAGTGATTCATGTAGTAAGATAACCTTTCTGAGACTGTTTGTGAAGTTGACGTGAAGTTACTGAAACTTTAAGTATGGGCCATTAAATAAAAGTTTTCTTCACAGTTTTGGTTGTAGTAGGATGATTAAAAAAAAAGATTTATAACATTATAATATATAATTTCTTGTGTTTTTTTTGTTTAGGAAGGTAAAGATCTCAGGTGTAATTTCAGAGTAAGGATTTTCTAGTGAACTATGAATTTGTTTTTCTATATTAAATAAAAACCATCAATAGACAAGGTTTCAATATGTCATAGGTATTGCTCATCACTGTTTCTTTATAAATGTTGCGTGACGTTAATGCATCTTATTTTGAAGGTTTCTCACCAGTTGAATAATACTGTTTGGTGCAATACCCCCACCTAGACTTTAGATGGGGTATTGCACTCCAACCAAAACATACATTCCTTGCACTTTCCAATGAATAATGGCCGATTCTTTTTTAAGGTTTATTTATGACTTGTGAAAAGGTGGACAGTTTAAAAAAATATAACTCAAAGAGAGAAATATTTTTAAATTTCGACTTTCTTAGGACTACACTGATTAAATCCAGCGGTTGTGTTCATTCCGGCATATTTGCTTTGATTTATATTGGTGACCATAGGTCGAGTAATGTGCACTGTCCTAAATCAATCAATCGTTCAATATATTTTCATATAATGATTTAGTCACATATGTTACAAGTTTGACAAAGCATTTTGAACTACTTGTTCAGGGTAGCTTTAGTTAACAAGACCAGATTTCTCATTCTGGTAGCTTTACTGGTTCAACTTCATTTTGCATGAAGTCCTTGATGGTCTGAAAAAGATTTTAAATTCTGAATAACATAAATATTTTCAAATTACACTTTCATAAGAAACTGCCCAACCCTTTTATTCCTAAATCAAACATTTCTTTAAAGTTTAAGAATGTTTTAAAGTCTGTAATCTACAACCTTATCTTTGCAGGCTTCTTTCTATTCATCTACTATTACAAGTCCAGTAAAGATGTTGGAAACAACAGCAGTTCCATAGTCATCAGCAGCAGCAGCAGCATCATCAGCAGCATCATCAGCAGCAGCATCATCAGCAGCAGCAGCATCATCAGCAGCAGCAGCTCAACTACTACCAACACAATCACCTTATCTCCAGTTACATGAAGAACTGTGCAGTTTTCAAACAGGGAACAGAACGTTCTCTGTGCCTGACACAAGAGGGCAGCATTCCCTTTACTAAATCAAGTAGATGTCTCGTCCCTGCAAATTCTCCTACTTTGTGTTATTTTTGACTGGATGACTACACTGACCTGATAAAAAGCTAATCTGAAATTACCTTCATTGAGAAATGTTCTCAGGCACTGTCTGAGGAGATGTGGTAATCTCCTGGAAGTCATTTGTGCGGATGACTCTGCGTTTAAACAGAAGCCTTGTCTGACTCACTGTGAAACATGCGGAGAAGGTTGTGATTCACTCAAGATTAAATCAGAGGGCTCATAAATTAAAAGCCTGGTCATACACTGGAATGCAGAGTGTAAATGTTTAGGAAGTCATATATTTCCTCCTTCATGACTGATGTGGCTGTCATGTGGAATGGTGGTAAAACTGCAGAAAAATAGAAGGTGCACGGGAAGTCTTTCTTTCACATATTTTACAGCGTTAGGATCTGAGGTAGGCATCTTAGCGCTTTGCGTGCCTGCAGATAATTACTGTGAGCCTACAGAGAGCAGTATCCAATGTGAGGGGAGCCTTAAACAGTCAACGAGATGTGAGCTCATGGCTACCTATAGTGATAAGTAAGTAAGAGGCTTCAAGACAAAGCGTTAGGTTGCAAATATTGTTAGAATATGTATTTAATGAGCTCTTATAGCTTTTAAGTGTACCTAGCCAAACTACAGTACATCACATTTTTGAGCTGTTATGTCATAAATAAAGTTTTTTTCTTCATAACTGGTGTGATTAAGATCTTAGGTATTTCATATTCTCTATACTTTGACTAATAGTTTCTTAATGGTATATTACATGTGATACATAACTATTAGGTGACAGCGTTCTTTACTATGTCCACTGTATTTTTTAGACACATTTCACTTCCTTTAATAAGTTAGGTTCACTTTGTTAACTAAATTCTGAACTTTTATCAAATGGTTTTTGTGTGTGATTAAGATATTGTATTTCATATTTTCTTGACAGTAAATAAAGGCGTCTTACGGAGCCCCTCAAGTCCCAAAAAGTAAACAAAAAAATTCTGTGCGCTTAATTATAGTTAATTATATATCTATTGTGCGATATAAAGTAATTATAATACTTTTTGGGACTTCAGGGGCTCCGTAGCTATCAGATTGCATCTTTAAATTGTACACAATATAACTTGTAGATATATAAATAGCATTCTTTGCTATTTCCACTATATTTGAATGAATTTGTGTTCTTTTTTTAAAGTTGACATCTCGTATTTTTAGAACCTATTTTTTTCAACATGGTGGCTTGTTAAGGTTTATTTTGGTGAAATGTGGAAGACATGTGCTTTGAGGCAGCATTTCAGGAGTAAAACAGCTGACTTTGGGTCTTTCTTTTGCAAATTAAACTTACACTGTCTGGAAAAATAAAGTAAAAAATACAGTTTCTTGTATCCAAAATAGACTGGTGAGTTATCTTTTCTTACAGCAGTCTGGGCATGTATGAGCTGGGCAGCAACATTCAAAGAGCAGAGCCCGTTTATTTATCTATGACTGATTAATCTTCTGAATGACCGCAGCGTGCAAGCCAAAAAGCAGGGTAATTACTGCCATACACATCTGATCTGTGTGGCCCCTCCAAAAAAGGCCATTCATACAGAGCACAGCGGGCCTCTGTGATGTACCTGTGTGTGTCTACACGTTACAGCTCTCTGGTTTAGCCACAGTACAGTCTTCATCCCAGATCACCATGCAAAAATAGAAGACAAATCACAGCACTGAGGTCCTAAAAGAAGTCCTCTCCAAGAACTATAGCATTGACAACCCAGGCATATGGACTTATTTTAGACAAAGATCAACATGACTGCTTTTTAATCATTAATTAAAAAAGTGAAAAATCAACATTGCTGCCCACACACTGATTATGATTTGAAGTGTGGTTTCACTGCTTTTCTAAATTAAAAAAAAAAAAAAAAAATCCAGACATCTGCCAGAAATAAACAAAAAAGAAGCCCTGGTGTCTCATGCAGTGTCAACTGCATGAGAAGATTTCAAGAAGTGTGCCAATCTTAATCATTTCCGACTGGTTGAAGAGTTTTCAGTTTTCACGTTATCCCATAAAACTGTCTGTTACAAGATTGAAATTGTGGCCGCCAGAATAAAATTCAAACATGTGTAGATGTGTCTCTTCTGAAGAGGGAACTGAGAACTCTTTTAATTGATATCAGTCTGAAACCATGTGCACAGTAGTGGCTTGGAGAAGCACCAAGCATTGAAATGAATCCTCAGATTTTTTGAAGACAGCATGGAGACACACAAAAAAAGCTGCCTCTTCAACAGTGAAGGATAGTAAAACATTTCACCGTAACATGCTCATTCGAAAAATGATACTTAGAAGAAGAAAAAAAAAAAAAGTTACAATCAGTCCAAGCTGGAGAATTATTCTTGGAGAAGTGCAACATTTCCACAATGTAGTCCTTCCTACCTTGGTTTCCTTTTGATGGGAGTTCATTAATCTTAAATCAGACAGGAATAATAAAAACACTGCTCCTAATCACACAAGTGTGAGAATCGGTCGGGTTTTATGATTGGTGTAGTTCAGGTGAAAGAAAGTAGATATTGACTTTGCATGTGTTTTATTAAACAGAGTCTGGACTGATTCCTGCCCTGTAAAAGACAAATTGCCAATCTCAAATGACCTATAAAGCCTGAAGTCTTGTTACTGAGAGTTTGCGTGTCTGGGGGAAATATGATTAGTTAAGCTTCTAAATACTTTTCTTTAACCATTTGATCATTACCAACTGCTTTTTTTTTATTTTTATTTTTTATCATTCGACCCTGTCTTCTCTTCCAGGTTTAGAGAGCTAACTGGACTTTATTTTATGCTCCTCTGTTCTACCGTTTTCTTTGGGTCAGGGCACACTTCCTTCCACCCCCCCCCCCCCCCCTTCTCCTGTCTCCGTTTTCATAAATCCTCAAAATGATTTATTTCCTAGTAACTTTGCTCGTGAAATTGATGTGGACCCGGGGCCTTTGTAGCGTCTGGTTTCCCTGCTGGCTGCAGTAAAATCAGGCACAGGTCCAGGCGCAGGGCAGCGCTTGCGTGACTGAGTGCCCCCGCCTCCTCACATGTCACAACGTGGCCCCCAGACTCCCAAGCATTCAGTTGATAGATTTGAGGGCCCGTAGTTAAGTGTGCAGATTTATGATGAGTGGTTGCAGCGTGTCAGTAAGAACTGTGTTACTTCTGCGAGAAGCACGAAACAAGGCCCCTTTTCTAACAGGAAAACAAAGGGGAAGAATCCAAGGTGCTTTCAGGTTACTGGCAAAATCTCCGGACAACACACTGCTTTGTAATTTGGCAGGAAGGAGGAGGAGGGGAGGGGGGGGGGGAGACCAGATGGCTGCAGGCGTACATGCAGCACCTGACTGAGATGAACTGTCTCGCCTGGGTCGACCTCTGCCTTTGCTGTTCATTAACATCTTTCATCGAGGGAAGATGATGGGGAGGGAGCGGAGGAGGTCTCGAAAGGGGAGAAGAGAAAACGGAGCAGGAGGGGACAAAGGGGCGCGACCATTCAGAGCCAAAACTTGACCTCTGGATTTCAAGCTTCTCCTCCCTACAGTTTCCTGTCTCCCCTTCTCACGTCATGTGCAACAGCAGGAAGGACTGCTCCCCTTTTCGTGTCATGAAAAAGGGGGTGTCTCTTTGTCCACCCCGTGACCTGAGCAGCTCCTCATCACTCACCTCTTTGTGAAGCAAGAGGGCCCGATGACAATGGGAACGCTAAAGACGTCTAACACTTTCAGATCTGTCCATCAAATGTCACATAGTTTATCACAACCACTCTATCACACAGATGGAGCGGAGGGAGTGTTGTTGCACGTTTTGCATGCAACAGTGCAAAGAATGTTGCGGTAATGTCTGTTTAACCGTCGGAGAGGGACGAATAATAATGGAAGCAAGATGAGAATTTATGATGTTTGTTACACTGAGCAAACCCACAAGCAAAGTAACCTTCTGTGGCAGCAATAAAAGTTTGACTTTATTTCACCAGAGACTCCTATGAGCAAGCTCAATACATAAATAAAAAGAGTTGTCATCATAAGATATTGATGACATATGTAAATAATGTCGAGCGTAATTTATATGTAAGACTTCGGTATCCTAGGCTTTAAAATGACACTGCTGCCAGCACTCTGAAGTATTTCCTCATCCAGACCTCATAACTACCAGTTTGATCTGACACTGAAGGGACATGAAAGTTAATGGTTAGGAAGCTCGAGTTTTTCTGGATTCGCTCACACTGCGCCTAGTTTGCTTCACTATTGACTTGGCTGTCGTCTGGCCTTTAAAATTCACACTTGGTGAAGTTGTGGTATTTGCTTCACACAAATGGTGCAAGTCTTCCCACAATGCTTATTACACAAAGTTTACTACATGCGGCTGATTCAGATACTGGTTTGAAGCTGCAGGATTTAGAAGATAAATATCAGTCAGAGCATTTGCATGTACAGTTTAATTTATTCTGCAGTTTATTTTTCTGTAAATATCTTCAGTCTGACCCGAGAACTTAACTATTTAATCATTGGTTTGTTTCGAGCTTAACAACTTTCTTAGTGGCTGGGGTGGAACCAAAACACTTCAAATGTTGGATTTTGTTTTACCAAGTTATGAAATAGCCTGAAATAAACATTGACGTCTCTATATGATCTACACAAGCAAAATAGATCATCAGCATCAAGACTGATTTTTACTCATATTGTTATTTTGAATGCCTGAAAGCGCTGCTGTGGGGGAGGTGTCAGACAAAGTGATTAACAGCACACTGCCTCTTTCTTTTTTTCAAATACATTTTGCTTGGCAAAGATTCTCTATAAGTGCTACAGTTGACGGTCAGAAATAGGCATGATGAGATTTCTTTGTCATAAAAAACTCCTTACATAAGCAGCAGAGAGATTACAGCTTTGTCCACATGGGTCACTAATCAACACAAACTAAAAGCTCACCAAAGGAGCCTTAAGAATTACATTTTTTAAATATATTTATATATGAAAAGTAGAAGAATATAGTGACTTATTATAGAAAATATCTCTTCTTCGCCCTGTGGCGTTTTAACGTCTTTCAGCACATCATTATGATTTTGACGGCGGGTTTTTGTGGTGTCATCTTCTTTTGGTGCCGTCCTACAGGAAAAAAAAGCTCTGATATACTAACTGTAAACTACATGCGCTAAATGTACACTGACAAAGTTGGTGACTTGCTCCTGAAGGCAAATACACATTAAAGCATCCATATAATAGAGCTGTATCTCTCAGGAGTTGCTGCAGACCAAAACAGAGGTAAACAGGAAGTGCATAATTGACTGATAATCTTTAGGTGGCCAGACACATGGCAACCATTACTTTCTCAATGTCTCCTTGATGTGTGAAATAAAAAGGAGGTCTTTATTGTGATCCTATCAACCCTTTAATGTCAATGGTGTGCGTGATAAATTATTGAATTTAATTGAAGTAGTAGTAATTGAAGTGAGAGCAGTTTTGTGTCTCCATTCTTAATGTGTAACATCTGAAAAAGTTTTGTCTCTATGGCATATGTGTATATGCGGGATATATGTGGGATCTGATATCAGTAAACACCTCGTGTGATAAACTTTGTTTCTTCCATCTAACACCCAGGGGAGCTGTTAATCACCCTTTAGTACTTCCTACTACACATCCAAATGTGAGAATAAAGTCTGTGCAAATAAATGGACTGAGATCCCACGAGGAGACAAATGGGGGCGGAAAGCATCCACTCTCGTGCCAGTCTTAATCAAATCTTGTTTGTATTTGTGTGCTAGTGTCTGAGTTAGTGGCAGTTTCATGTGAGGGACCACCAGAAACGTTTGTTTCCTGGAGCAGCAGAGGGAAGTTGTTTTTTCATCCTTTTCCAGTCTTATTTTTAATGTCTCTTGTTCGTCATTCATGGCATTCTCAGAACATAAGGATGTGGCTCTTCCAAGTAATGGTGTATTGTCCCAATATGTGGTCCAGCTCTTTCACAAAATGATATTGGACAAACCGCACACAATTTAAGCTTGATGAGTGTTCCTTTGGAGAAATAAATCTTCTTAACGTGCTGCTTTGAACATGTCCATTAAAGACATGCACTGGAGGAGGAGTTTATCCCAGGCAGTCTGTAATAACATGTTAAATAATGTGCATGTGAAAGTTTCACAACTCTGTGCCAGGAATACAAGTTATACTGTACGGACTCATGAGACCCAATGAGAGGAGAGCAACTGGGTCGGCTCCTTTCTATTGCACGGCTCCTCATACCGGACGAGTGTCTGTATTTACAACCAAAGCATGACTTCCAGCGTCCAGAGCCAGACAGCTCCAAGTGGTTCCATCCCAGCAGAGGTATTGACTGAAGCGGTGGCAGAGGTTAATCTGGAACATACTTGCGACTATGTCGG